TGAACGGTGTCGCAGAACGAAGAAACAGGACTCTTAAGGATATGGTGAGAAGTATGATTAGTCATTCTTCATTACCAGAGTCTCTGTGGGGAGAAACACTCAAAACTGCAATTTATATCCTCAACAGGGTGCCAAGTAAATCAGTTAACAAAACTCCTTATGAGTTATGGACCAGAAAACGGCCAAGCTTAAAACATCTACACATTTGGGGTTGTCCGGTAGAAGCCCGTCCTTATAGGCCGCATGAAAGCAAGCTGGAATCGAGGACTGTTAGCTGTTATTTTCTTGGCTACCCTGAACGCTCTTGGGGCTATAAGTTTTACAATCCCACTACTAAATCAATTTTTGAGACGGGTAATGCGAGATTTTTTGAGGATGTTGAGTTTGGGAGGGAAGAGAACATAAGGAATGTTGTCTTTGAGGATGAATTTTTCATTAACAATGATCATGTCCTAGTGCCTATTACTGTTCCAGTATATTCTCCAGTAATAGATGACAATGATGGAGTTACTCCTGAAATTGTCATGGCACAAGACAACAATGAGGTTCCTCCTCAAATACCCATTGAGCAACCTCAACAACCTCAAGAAGTGCCATTAAGAAGATCCAATAGAGAACGGAGAAGTACAAATCCGGATGATTATGTTGTGTTTCTCCAAGAGCATGAGGATAGCATAGGATTAACAGAAAATGATCCATTCACCTTCTGCCAAGCCATGCAAAGCTCTAATTCTCAAAAGTGGATTGATGCTATGAATGATGAGTTAAAGTCTATGAAAGACAATAATGTATGGGATCTTGTCAAATTACCTGAAGGTGTGAAGCCCATTGGTTGTAAATGGATATTTAAAACCAAGCGGGATTCAAAAGGTAATATTGAGAGATATAAGGCCCGCTTAGTTGCTAAAGGCTTCACTCAAAAAGAAGGCATTGACTATAAAGAAACCTTTTCTCCGATATCTTCAAAGGATTCTTTTAGGACGATTATGGCACTTGTAGCTTATTACGACTTAGAGCTCCATCAAATGGATGTTAAGACAACGTTTCTAAATGGTGACATTGAAGAAACAATATATATGGTACAGCCAGAAAACTTTGTGACTGATGATCCAAAGTCTATGGTATGTAAGCTAAACAAATCCATCTATGGTCTCAAACAAGCATCTCGTCAATGGTATCACAAGTTTCATCAAATCATCACCTCTTATGGTTTTGAGGCTAATGTCGTGGATAACTGTGTATATCATAAGTTCAGTGGGAGTAAATATATATCCCTGGTCTTATATGTCGATGATATATTGCTTGCTAGCAGCGATATAGCCTTAATGGGTGAAACCAAGAAATTTCTGAATGAACATTTTGAGATGAAAGATCTTGGAAAAGCCTCTTTTTTGCTAGGGATCAAGATACTAAGAGATCGTTCTCGCTGTATCCTAAAGCTATCACAAGAGAACTATATCGATAAAGTGTTGGATAGATTCGGCATGAAAGATAGTAAACCAGGGGATACCCCGATAGCTAGAGGAGACAAATTTAGTCTGAATCAATGCCCGAAAAACCATCTTGAAAGAGATGAAATGCAAAAAATTCCGTATGCCTCAGCAGTGGGAAGTTTAAGGTATGCTCGAGTATGCACTCGTCCTGATATAGCATTTGTTGTGGGAGTTTTGGGTAGATACTTGAGCAATCCTGGAATGCAGCATTAGAAAGCGGTGAAACGTGTTATGCGTTATTTAAAGAGAACGAGAGAATATATGCTTACTTATCAGAGATCTGAGAGCTTAGAGGTCATTGGGTATTCAGACTCTGATTGGGCTGGATGTCAGGATAGCAAACACTCTACATCAGGATATATTTTTATGTTGGCTGGAGGAGCTATTTCATGGAAGTCAACTAAACAGACACTTATAGCAACTTCAACTATGGCTGCAGAGTTCATTGCTTGTTTTGAGGCATCTAACCATGGAATATGGCTGTGAAATTTTGTCACTAGTTTACGCATAGTAGATAGTATAGAGAGGCCATTGAAAATTTATTGTGACAATAAGTCTGCAGTGCTTTACTCTAACAATAATATGAGTACAACCAAGTCTAAGTTCATAGATATTAAGTACTTGGCTGTAAAAGAGAGAGTTCAGGATAAACAGATTTCTATAGAGCATAAAGGAACTAGTTTCATGTTGGCTGACCCACTTACTAAAGGTTTGGTACCTAAAGTGTTTCTTGAGCATGTTGCTCACATGGGTATGATTCTTGATAGTGCCTTAGTTTAGTGGGAGTCCCATTTATATTATTTATGCAAACTTCATTATTTCAGTTAAATAATATTGATGTCTATTATTTTTCTTGATTATTCTGAACTCATATAATGCAATATATATATTCATTTTCTAGACCTCTATAAAGTTTAAATTCTAGACCAATTGGAAATAGGCATGTATTAGATCACGTAACATGTAATTTCCATACCACTCATCCACATTTGATCTATGTCATTAAGTATATTAACTGTAGTGATTGTCATGGTTTAGTCACACTATAAAGTGGCAAAAGCTGTAGCAGTTCTCAATTGATATATGAGATGGACCAGATTGTTAAAGGGTAATCTAAAAGTAAATAACGTACAGTTGCGCGCCTAAATTTTTTTTTTCTGTAATATAAATGTCTCAGGTTGATATGAAGCCCAAGTGGGAGATTGTTGGAATTATTTTATTCCAATAAATAATGTGTGGGCTACATATTAAATATAATAATACATTTATATTAAGCTATTTACGCTAATTGGGCTAATTGCAAGTGATCTGCATCGGGTGAGCCCATTTGGATTACCGTAGGAAGTAATGTGGGTCCATATGAGTGGATACCGGGCTTGGCCTATTTCGGTATAGTGGGAACCCTAATAGGTGAATATAAAAATAAGCTCCTCTAGCAGTGCTGGTCCCTAATAGACCAAATCAAAAAAAATTATTGCCTCTATACTTCTTCCCATCAAGAGTTTGGCTCTCAAGTCCCTGTAATTGGGATTACGGCGATTTGGTTGAGGAAGACCATAATATCACCATTATTGAATCAACTTGCAACAGGAACGGTAATCACTCATAGTGGAATCCATTACCTAGACTAAAGCTTCCGCTGTCATTTAACTGCAGCAAAAGCGTAATGGATCCAGGTATGTACTTTGTACTTTAATGAATATCTAATAATAAGGTCTGTTATTTATCTTTTTTATTGATCTAATATGGATGATCAATTGGGTTAATATATAATAGAGAATTTTCTAACATAACACTGATGTAATCCTAAATTCTCATTTTGCTGTAGTGGCAAGCTAAACAAGAGGTTGTATCCTGTGGATGCTTGACTTTTGGAACGATGGATAGTTAATTTTGATTTGAATAATAATAAGATTTTTTTAGTTATTTGATAAAATTGAATATGTGATAAACATGTTTAAGTTCAATATGCGGTAATTCTATGAGATTAGTTGAGATTTGTAAAGAAGTAAATAATTAATCAAGTATTCTATTTTTGTTTGTAAGAATTTGGGATTTATAATAAAAATGTATTAGGTTTAAATGGCAGGAAACATTATTTTTGGTCTTAAACAGTTTACCTTCATTTAATGTAGCTAATCTTAGATTTTCTAAAGGCTTCATTTTATTAATTAAATTAAATTTTATAAAAATCATATTTAAATAACACTTTTTTGCTCTTTTATTGTAAAATATACACATCCTTTTCTTAAATATCACTATATATATATATAGAAACATGATTTTCTTACACTTGTATAAGTCTAAAAACTCTTACACACAGTTTAAGTATTTCATTTAACTTAAATTTAACGAATTATAATTTATTACTTTACTGGCCGTTAAATTTAAGTTAAATAAAAGACTTAAAACTATGTGTAAGAATTTTTAGACTTACACTGGTGTAAGAAGATCCTTCCTTTTATATATATATAAATATTTTTTATAGCGATTATTAACATAATTAATAGCTAATTTTGTATATTTAATATTAATTTTGATTTTAATAGGCGAAAAATCATTGGAAGGCAGTTTTTTAATTATTCATAATGCTTAAGTAAAAATCATTTTTAATCCATGACATTGACAATAAATTTGTAGAATCATAATACAAAGTGACGAATATTAGTTGGTCTTTCTAATTAAAAATAACAGTTAAAATTTAACAACTAAGCAAGCATGTATTTTCACTAAAAATAGTAAAAAATGACAAATTTCAATTTCTGAGGTTCAAAATTTACATGAAAAAGGAAATACGATAATTTAAATCCCCCTTTTGAACACCTAAAGAATACCTTTGGTATGTGAAAAAATACTTACAAGCAAACTTCGTGTTATGTGACTGGTGTACCACTAGAATATATGGTTCTTCAAGTTTGCCTAGCCAAAAAATTTGCGACTCTATTTATCATACAATTGAACCTACATTCACCTAAGATATAACAATTAACAAGAGAAACTTACCATAATAACAAGCATTATATTCATTTTCCATTTGCCACTAAGGGACCTTTTTCTTTTAGCTAAAACCAAACAGAACCCTGAAGATAAAGAAAAAGACTAGTTACATAGTAAAAGAATATAAACTATATCTTTCAGATTCAGGCAGAAGAAAATACTTCAGCTTTTTCTTTAATGTTAATCACAAAGAACGTAGAACTCTTATGGCATGGCCATATCTGGTTTAGACTGACCCCAGTGTAGTGTCTATTTGGTAAATCACTATTCAATCCATCTCATATTATCTAGCAATCTAAGTAATATACTCTTAAAAAAAAATATTGATAAGTATCTTTTTACAAAATTATCCTTAATAAAAAATTTAATATGATTTCATTTAAATATTTAAGTAACATCTGAATAAATAATTATATTATTAAAGAGGAATAATTAATATTTTTAAAATTTTTAAAATCAACAAATTAGAATAAAAGTCAGAGATAGTAAAATTAACTCATTTCATTGTGAAACGATTTCAATATAAAATTTGGAAAATCAATTTAATTAGACACATATACTAGCCACATTCATAGATTCAAAATTAATTCAATGAAAACCAAGTGTATTAAAAAGGGACACATGATTACAGAATGTGCTTCATGCCAGCTGGTTCAGAAAAGAGGATCAGTTGCAATGGTAAGTGTGGGATCTCCTCCAAAGCCTGAAGGAACATCAAATCCTGACATGAAGTTATCACCAAACATTACAGCACCAGCTGCCAATGCTCCAGCACCTGCACCAATTGCAAATCCTGAGGGTCCCCTCTGTCTAGGGGCTGCCCCGGATGATGATGATGATGGCATATTAAAATAACTAGGTACAGAACCATTACTACTTGGGTCATAAGTGGGAACATAACCAATATTTGAGTGTGGGGGTGGTGGAGGAGGACTTCTTCTGGGTGGTTGATAACTTGGTCCCCCCACATATGGATTAGCATAGTCAGCAGGAAATGGCACTGGATGTGAGTAAGGGACATTATTTTGTGCTTGTTTTTGTGGCCCATGGAATGAACCTTGACCCATTTGATTTGAATAGCCTTGCCCAAATCCACCCCCTGTAGTCAAGTGAGTACTATTGCCCCGATCTAAAAGCACTATTCCTCCACCATCCCCTGCATACCAAACATAGAACCTCAAAATAACTTAGTCAAAGTTGCCAACTTTTCCACTCAAATATTAAACCCATTTTGAACACACTGAATTAAATGTTCCCTAACACGAGAGAAACAAAGACCAGCCTTTTATTTATGTTGAGGTTGTAAAATAAAAGACTAACACACCAAACTAGGATCTCTTAATTTAGCTCTTAATATTAAAAAATATCATTCTAGTCCTTCAAATACATAAATGTAAGTCATTTTAATTTTTATTATTATAATTTTAAATAAAAAAATGCATGTCATTCATTACATGGAATAATAATTTTAGAGACAAAAACGACATTGTTTTGTAATTTTAACCACTAAATTAACTAGTATAATGTAATTTTCTGAAATAAAACAACCACATACATATATATACCTTCTGGGTGGGAATTAGGCTCTTCTTTGTCCTCAGAAACACGAATGGAAACATCAATGAAGCCTCTTGGTTTGTTGGATTTCTTCCTTCGTAATTGGTAGCTCCCAACTTCCTCAAGCCCTGGCTTTGAAGTCTGAGAGTTGTGAACATGCTTAGCTAGATACTCTTTGAGAACAACGGTTGCTGAGCCATGAAGCTTCTCTGTGAGGAACACAGGGTCTCTACTGTAAACTTCGACATTAAGTGCAAGATCTTGGAAGTTTGTTTCTGAGTTATCAACTTGGATAGCAAACTTGGTTCTCCAAACAGGATTTGCATTCCCAGAAGCATCAACTTTGGTGCAATATTTGGCCTTAGGATCAACCCACCCAACAGCATACCATTGACGCTTCCAAAGTGAGGGTGAAGCCCTCACTCCACGAGCAGATATCAAGCATATCTCAATCCAGATTTTCCCCATAGACAACAAGGGTTGTGGGTTGTCACTGTGTGTTGGAAAAGTGATTATGTGAACGGGTTTTGTTGCATTATTTCAAAGGCTACTTTACTTGATTGGTTTGATAGTGAGAAAATTCCTATGCCTATAAGCGTCATTAAGGGGTACCCTTATGCCATTTTTTTTCTTCTTGTTATGTTGAGTGCATCCCAGCTTGGCAGAATCTGATGTTAACATTTTTCAACATATACACATTGGGATAAACGAAAGTTTGTATGCCAAGGTAAAATTGGGTATATTATATGTATGCAAGAATTTATAAATAATTTATAGCTTTTATATGTTGTGTTTAATTTATACCAAAAAGTTTCATAATTAATTTTATAGCATAAATTATTATTTAAAAAAAAACTTATGAAAAAATACTGAAGCAAGCTCTTATTCAAACACGCCTTATAATATATGAATTGAAAGTAATTTTTGAAGGATTAAATGAAGTTAAAAATTATAAATTTCTAGAGAATTAAAATTTTATTTAATTTTAAAAGAAAACAAAATTCTTAATTGAGTTCATCCTAACAAAATAAGGCTCAACACACATTAAAAACTTCCCTGAAAAATTCATTTCACAGTTTTTCAACCATTTAATTCAGTTTAAATCTAAATAAATAATTATTTACTTTTTGAAAACCTATTAAAGAATAATATAAATAAATAAATATTTTTTAAAAAGTAAATTGAATGAAACAGGTAAACATGCACTTCATTATTCTGTTAGTTGCCACTCTACGCTGTTGCTAGTTTGCTCGTGGATCTTTACTCATTATCTTTACTTATTGTTGCAACCTCTTAGGTATAAGTATACTACATTGAGATTTAAGAGATCTACTGTGCAAATTGTCGTTGGCATTTCCTCGTTAGGCCATCGAGATTTAAGATATATCCGTTGCAGGGAAATTTACAGAAATAAAACATTTTAAATATAAAATTATATATATGTCTAAAAAATTTTTTTTTTAGATAAATGTCCTGATTTGAATTGCATAGAAATTAATTAAAATTAATTTCATATACGAATGCAGAAGTCGATTATAATTATTTTTTACAATGCAATGGGAAAGTCAATTATAATTGACTTAATTGAGAGTCGATTATAATCGACTTCGATTTTAAAAGAGAGTCAATTATAATTGACTTCTGTAATACATTTTTCACGTGTTACTTATATCCCGTCCATATAATTTATTTAGATTTCTTACCCAAATTAAGGAAAAATAATATTTTAATTAAATTTGTTAATATTTTTTTATAATAATTTTATAAATTATTAAATAATATCAATGTAAAAATAATATTTTAGAGGACATATAATTTAAATTTTAAAGTAGAGAAAATTAAATTCCAAAGTACATAGTCCATAAAATATGTAGATTACCATGCAACATATGGGACTATGGGCCACGCCTGTTGTGTCTAGGCCCAGCTCAAAATGATATTACACGACATATATCTTTGAATCCACCTTTCATGTTAGATGCTGAGATTATGAGTTCGCTTAATTCGACCGGTACAAGAAAATCTGTGCCACCACCAAATAATATATATCAATCATCACCAACACATATTCGAACTCCCCCCTTTTAATGGTTCACCGGAGGAGGAGGGACATCACACACCTGTCCAACAACAGGAAGCGGATGATCAGTACATGCATGACCAAAGTCAGCAGGAGGAGGAACATGCACACCACACACCTTGTTGAACCCAGACGCAACAGGCGTGGCTCATAGTCACATATGCATGATGATCTACATATTTTATGGACTATGTACTTTGAAATTTAATTTTCTCTACTTCAGAATTTTAATTTTCTGTACTTTAAAATTTTAATTTCATGTACTTTAGAATTTTAATTTTATGTAGTTTAGAATTTAAATTATATGTTCTCTAAAATATTATTTTTACATTGATATTATTTAATAATTTATAAAATTATTATATGAAAATATTAACAAATTTAATTAAAATTATTATTTTCTTTAATTTGGGTAAGAAATCTAAATAAATTATATGGGCAGGATATGTATAACATGTAAAAAATGCATTATAAAAGTTTATTATAATCGACTCTCTTTTAACATAGAAGTCAATTATAATTGACTTTTCCATTGCATTACAAACAACGATTATAATCGACTTCTGTATTTGTGTGTAAAATTAATTTTAACCAACTTCTATGCAATTCAAATCAAGACATTTATGTAAAAAATACATATATTTTTGAGACATATACCTAATTTTATATTTAAAATGTTTTATTTTTGTAAATATCCCGTTGCATAGTGAGCCTAATAATAATCATATTTGTTTGTTTTTTTCAAAGTAATTTCTAATGATACTTTTTGTGTCAGTTTATGAGAGAGAGAAAAAGTCCCAATAATGTATTGTGGTCAAGTTAACTAAACTCACCAAGAGCACTTAAGTTTCCATCTTCTTACTTGTGTAAACTTAATATTTAAGTGTATGATATTGCTTTTAAAAATTTATTATGACAAATATTTTGACATATTTATTGAAGAATATATTCAATTGATTTTGTTTATTTCATTTTTGATTGAAAATTCTTTTAATCTACAATATATATAAAAATCTATTCAATAGTAAAATTATTTATTTTTTTCTCTATGTTTCACGTTCTTATTTACTTGACATCGCTATAAGTAAATGAACATGACATATTTATAACAAGAGAGTTTACCTTTGCCACATATTTAATCTAAGAAACCTGTAGAAATAGCTTCTTAAATTCCTCTCGATGACTATTATGCATTTGACCAAATAAAAGCTATATTTTAACAATTCTTCACTTTAGCTTGTATTTGATTCTTTGATGTAAGTCTTCAACTACTGCAAATATTGACTAAGTCCAAACAGTATACGAACTTATTAATCAACAACTATTTTATCATCATCTTAGCTGGATTTTCAACTGTAGCTATCTTTTTTTATTACAACCAAGTTATTACCCACACTTTCTTTAATAAAGTGAAGTCTAACATCAATATGTTTCATCTTTTCATGATACATTGAATTTTCTAACCAAGTGAACAACGCTTTAACTATCACAATGTATGATAAGCACTTGTTGACTTAACCCAAAACTATCCAACAGACTATGTACCTATATGCTCTCCTTAACAATTTCAATCAATGTTATATATTCAGTTTTAGTAGTTGATAATGTTACTATCTATTCCAATGTCATCTTTCAACTAATAGTACATCCAAAGACTTTAAAAATATAACTTATCAATGATCTCCTTTTATCATAATAAGCTCTCAAATAACCAAAAATAAATTTAAGGCAATAATAACATAATAAATAATTAGAATAATAATTAAAAAAAAATTATGATCATTATCCATTGACAAAAAATGAAGATCAATTAACTCCTTTTATCGGACTACTCCAGAAGCATGAGAAAAGTGCAAGCCTATAAATTTGAATACCAATAATTTTTAACAAGGATTTAGAATTAATTTCAATGAAAAAATCTTTAGATCTATACTTTATAGCTCTGAAATACACATTTCCTAATAATGAGAACTTTTTAAGACTCAACATTCTTAAGTATTTGAGTTGTGACCGTAACTTAAGAATCTAAATAGAAATTTTTTCTCTAATAGGTAACACTTCTTTCTCCTAAGAACATTATCTCTAACTTAAAAATTCTCCCAAAATTATCTATATGAAAGCGAAAAATGAATAGTTTATAAGGGTTTTTTCAAAATTTCAAAAGAATGAATTAAAGCTAAAGAATGAATATTCACATGGAAAAATGAGAGAACTTGCCAAGAATCAAATTGAGGGTAACAAGAATTGGGGCCATGTAAAATTATGTCATGAAAAGAAAAGTAAGAATCAAAGAGAAGAGCAATGTATGCAGCGTAAAATATACAATAAAAAAAGGAGTAATTACCCTGCTTCTTTTAAATTTGCATAAGTTGTCTTTATATATATATATATATATATATATATATATATATATTGTGGAAATGGTACATTTCATATAAAATATGTAATCTTATAGTTAATATTTTTTTTTATATTTTAAAATTATATTATACATAAAATCATCGAAGTGTTAATTAGTTTTTTATTTATATGATTTTTTTAAAACTTGATTTACTCAATAAAAAATTTCATTTAATGATTAGATTGATAATATTAAATATTTATAGAGTTATTAAGAGAAAAAAAAATTCTCAAAGTAATTCTTTGAATAATTTAATTTTTATCTTTTTAATATTTTAATTAATTTTTTAAAAATGTACAATACACTAAAAAATTATTAGAGTTTTTTTTTTATTTCATCTATTTTCTAAATAGATATTTCATGAATTTGAAAGGGCATAAATACTCCATTTTTTGGACCAATAACAAAGTAATTAACATACATGTATATTAAACTTACATAAGATATTAGTTTGAATTAAATGATGATATGATATATTTTAAGGACCTCAACAAGGGTTCTATATGTCTTCATCTTTTATAGAATTTGAAACATCAAGGAGGAAAAAGGTTACCACGACTAAAGATGAATCTATAATATTTTTGAGAGGTAAAGTAACATGATTAGGAAGGGCATAAAAAATAAAACTGAAAGTCATGTCTCATTCTAAGACTTGTTCAAAAGTTCTATTATTAAATATAATAGGATTTGTTTCGATTTTATTACTCTAATGAATGCACTAACTACTTGATGTTTGCAGCTTATTGGTTATTGGCAAAGAAAAAAACATTTTTACATATGTGAACCCTAGATTTTGGATGTCACCATTTCCATTGTCATTTTCACTTTTGACATCTTAGTATTCTCAACATCATTATCAAACTTCAATGACTAATGGCTTATGATACCAATCCAATCCTGTACCTCTCCATTGGCTTACTTGATTTTAGCCAAGAGTTATGGTTTTATATCACGAATGAATTGCAAGAAATTGTAACAATTCTATATTAAGACAAAAGTAAAGGATAAAAGACAACAACGAAAGAAGAACAAATTGACAATCATGCAACTGTAATATATGACACTCAAAAGAGGAAAGTCTTCCCATTTTAAAATCAAAACTTGTATACCATAACAATGGAGGCAACCAATTTACTTAGAATTGCTCAAATCCAATAGGTTTTACTCTCCTTTAGAGTGATGTCACATTAAGTTAATTGAGTAAACTATCACTTTAGTCCTTAAAATATGCAACATGACTAAAATTTGTCTTTTTAAATTTGAAATTTTAGTTTCTCAAATTAATAATTATCAATCACGTTAGTCTTTATCATTAAGATATATTAAAATTAAGTAACATAGTGATGATTTGTCACATTATGTGACATGTGGTAGTCTATTTTGGATACAAAATGATGTTGATTTAGGATCTTTAAAAAATAATTTATTTTTGTTGTTGACTCTTAATATTTTCAAGTTGTAATATCCCTTCCTCTTCTCTTGATTCATCTTTTTCTATGATATTTACTTACCTTCCTACAACTCAGCCTCACGTTGTGAGTCACTTTATCTTCATCAATGTTTTATCTACTATTTTCTTTGCCTTTAACCATTGTGAACCACCCCTTGATATTGATGTCACTATCATTTAACCAAAATATTGTTAATCTTCTTCCTCCCTCATTCCCAAGCTTCTCACCATGAGTCACTTTGTCATTATTGAGGTTTTCTCTGCCATTTCCTCTATCTCCAACCACCACAAACCAACTCTCATGTCGTTAATGTGCTGTCATTTGGCCAAAACGTTGCTAACCATTTTCCTCCTCCACCCTATTATTTGGTTCAACAAAACTTTTGGGAGGTGAATGATAAGTCCATGTTTTGGAGTGTTGTTATAGCTTATTTTCATATACTTGGCTTGTGTTTGATGATAATTTTATACTAATTTTACTATTATTTATTGCAGTTTAGCATGAGAAGATCACCAGTAAATTAAGAAAGTAATTTAATTACAATTAGAGAAAAATTAATAGAAATTACACATAACAAGAAGAACAACCTTACTTATTAGCTAACCTATGAGTAATTCATGACCATGCATAGTCATGCTTATAAGCATGTACAACTGTGTTTGTTTCTTGGTATAATTTTTTAGGGTTGGAGAATCTTATTTAAGGACAATTTGGGCATGTGACTCGAACACACTTTTTACCTAGCTGACTTTTGGAGTTGTTTGAGAGTGGAGATGATAAATGAAGACATAGGATATTTTTGTAAAGAGTTTGAGCAAGTAATCAATAGCGCTTTTCAAAGACAAGAACTTTTTTCATTTCCTTTCATTTGAGATACTTTTAGTTTGCATTTTCTTTTCGAATGACTATAGGTTTTTTTACAATTAATTTCCCTTCTTATTTCGTTATGAGTGACTAAATCTATAGGTAGGATTATAGTGGACCATTTGCATGCTTTATGTGATCTTTAAGTTTAAAAACAATTGCAAATTTTTTTAGATTGGTTTTGCCCTAATGTGTTTATGTCTATATGTTTGGAACTAATCATTCTTAATATATCATAATTAATTACGTTGTAGGCAATTGTACTACATGTAATTAATGAAACTATAGGATAAAATAGGATAAAGAATTAAATGGACCAAACTTAATTTTTCTTTTTCAATTAATTATTAAATTAACAAAATCATAGGTTCTTTTATGTTTTCCTTCTTTTTTTGCATTGCATGACCATTTGAGTAATAGTTAGCAAAAATAATGTTAACATTGCATAACCATTGAGTGTTATTAGTTTTTAATATGAGTGATTGGTGATTATAGAAAAATTGAGATTGAGGTTAAACTAAAAGTGAACATAAAAAGGTGTAAATATAAAACTAAAAACTCTAAATTCATCTTGGTAATTAGAAACAATCTCTATATAACGATATTCTAAGAATTCAATTTGAGAATATTTTTATTATTTTTTTTATGAGTACACTTGCCCATGAATAGTGAATGTCATTATTGTGGTGGCCGAAGAAGGAGATATCATGGAATAAGATAAAGGCATGAGAAGGGAAGAAAAGAAAAGCATTATTGCTCAAAAATTTCAAATGTCAAGGACAAAAATAAATTATTTTTAAAAGATCTTAAATGATGTCATTTTATGTTTGAAATAGACTTTTATGTGTCAACTTAACTTACAAATTATAATTTTATTACTCAATTTCAATATTTTTTAACAATAAAAATTAAATTAATTGACCATTTTTAATCTTAGAAATAGCATTTAAAATTTTAATTTTAGATAATTACTTTAAATAACAAAACATATTTTAAGGATTAAAATAAAAGTTTACTTGAGATTAATATTTTTTTTTAGTAATTTGCAAACATATCTTCTTAAAGACCTTAAAAATAAATAGCACTAATATTATAATAGATTTAACCACTTATTTGACTTAGATAAATAAACTCCACATGTTATATTTGTATGGTACTACAGTGAAGATTACAACTTTATAAAATTTTGAGATACCAGATGATACACTTTCTAAATAAGAGTACCATGTTTATATTAATAAAATAAAATAAAATAAAATTAATTAGTTGCTATTGTTTGAAATATTTAAATTAGAAACAAATAAAATAATTTTATTTTATTGTACCATTTTTTATTTTATTCTCTTAAACTTTAAGAGAGAAAAATAAATTATATTTTAATTGATAAGAACTTACTAAATAAAGTGAAATAAATGAATATTAATTATTATTAATTTTATTTGCTTAATTTAGAAATATTCTTTTTTTGTTAAAATCAAATATTTCAACTCAAAACTACACATTAAAATGAAATAATACCTGCTAATTGTTCACGTACCTGATAGTAGAATAAAACTAATTTATTATTTAATAATATATTATTATTCTATCCATTTTTGAAATAATAAGATTGCTTGTATGACATACTTCTGCATTTATTTAGTTGAAATATTTGTAACAATAAAAATATCACTTGAGTTTTACTTTTTTTTCCTTGTACTTTTTATTTGTAATTATAAAAATTAGAATAAAATATAATAGGTCTTAGCTCGAATATATTTATATCATTAATAATAATATATAATTTTTTTTTTTGCTAAAACTGTATAAACAAAAAAATAAATAAAAAGTTAACCTGGCAATAAGTTGGGTAAGTTGGGCTTTGAAAGGAAGGACGAGAAACGTGATGGGCCCAGGCCTAGGAAATAGTTGAGGCCTAACTCAGCAATCAGCATCGTTAACAGGTTGGCAACAAAACAGTGTCCCCTGGAACAAGTCCTTCCCCACACACACTGCTTCCTTGTTTTTTCTCTTATTTTTTTTTTATCCTTTTTTGCCTTTTCTTCGCTTGGCTTCAAAATTTGAAAACGAGATCCAAATTGGAACCGGAACAGTGAAACTAGAACAAGTAGAATCCTAAATCTTCTCTCTCAATTCCCAACCTACCTTCTCGTTTAGGATTTAGGGTTTTTCCTCTTCGGTGACCTCCTTCGCTCGCTGTCATGGAGGGCGGTGGAAGGAGGATCACGGTGAGTCCGAGACCCTGCTGTGGTCGGCGAGTGGTGGCGAAGAAGAGGCCACGTCCTGTTGATGGCTTTGTCAACAGCGTCAAGAAACTTCAGAGGCGCGAAATCAGCTCCAACCGTGACCGTGCCTTTTCCATGACTGATGCTCAGGAAAGGTTTCGCAACATCCGCTTGCAGGTTCGTGAAGTTTCTCTTTTGATAGTGATAAGATTGTGTTAAAAAATTGATGAAAGTTATGACAGCTGTATAAATTTAGTCTAATTAGTTGTTAGTTAGTGAATGCGTGATGAATATGTTTAAGATTCAATAAATGTATGGATATGTGATTGTTTTGTGAAATTGGTATGCTTGGACAGATGTTGAAGTGAAAATTGATAATTGGATGAAGGTATCAGTGAATAATTAAGTCATTTATGGGAAATTTTACTGAAAATTCATTTTTTTGGTTCAGTAATAAAATTATTTAGACCTAGGATAATCCGAGTGAACATGACACCTGTCTGATGTGTGGAGTAATGAAATTATGTAGGCATAACGAATTAAATATGAATCGAAGTGTTCTGTCTTTTTTGTAAATTTTGGATGCATTCGACAATACTAAGACTCCATGCTTTTGATAAAGAATTAGAAACTATGCTCTCGAGTCTCAAGTGCTGCTTAAGTAATGAATTCTCTTATGAAATTTACGTTGTTTAGGTTTTAGTGGTAACACTAGTGTGTATAGTCGGTGCGTGATGGTTTTAAATATCTTAGGGACTAATTTGAACCTGCCACATGCTTGTACTATATGGAGCACAAAACAACAGGTATTCCACATATGAAACACTAGAAATGGAAAATTAGCTTAATGTGGATGTGTGAATGCTTAAGTCAGTGTTAATTTGTTTGGGTTGTCAGTGGTCATTGCTGAGGGAACAAGACAAATTTGTGGTAGGAAAGTTGATTCTTTATGTTGACACAAATGCAGTGCGTGTCATTTTGTTTGTAGAATTCTCCATACATTTGAATACTACAACATTTGAATCACTATTTTAATAATTGGTTGTTGAGAGAACTATGTGCCTCCAGTTTTCACTTGTGAAATGTGTACTTTGCTTATCTATGTAGCTATGTCCATTTCAGCCAGTTCTTGTGATTGTTCTGATGGATCTATTTACAGGAAGAATATGATACACACGATCCAAAAGGCCCTTCGTCTGTTGTATTGCCATTTCTAAGAAAGAGGTCAAAGATTATTGAAATTGTAGCGGCACGAGACATTGTTTTTGCTCTTGCACAATCTGGAGTTTGTGCTGCATTTAGCCGAGGTAGTACTCGTAACTGGTTACTGGTATTTATATAATTTATAATCTTTATCTGGATATGCTGTTAAATTTTATTTGTAACATAGAAGTAGATGCATGATATATGTTACATGTTTCCATTGTTTTCTGCAGAGACCAATGAAAGGATATGCTTCTTGAATGTCAGTCCTGATGAAGTCATAAGGAGTTTGTTTTATAATAAAAATAATGACTCGCTTATCACAGTTTCTGTCTATGCATCAGACAGTTATAGTTCTTTGAAATGCAGAAGCACAAGGATTGAGTGAGTGTAGCTCTCTATTGCAATGTAACTCCTATCCTTACTTTCCATGCTCAAGAAAATAAAGCCTTAGGAAAATAAAATTGGTCTGGGGGGAGAGTAAAAGAAATGCAGTAGATAGCAACAGTTGCCTTGCCTGACCAATTTTGTGCTGTTGTGTTCCATGCTAATATATTGATATTTTCCAGATATATAAGGAGGGTTAAACCAGATGCTGGCTTTGCTCTTTTTGAATCTGAGTCATTGAAGTGGCCAGGTTTTGTAGAGTTTGATGATGTAAATGGGAAGGTGCTCACATACTCTGCACAGGATAGGTAAATATTTATCTGGAACTTGTGTATGAAGATATAATTATATCTTTTTTCAAAGCTTCTTGATTATACTTATATTTTTATTTTTCTATTCTTTTTCTCTACAGCATATACAAGGTGTTTGACCTGAAAAACTATACAATGTTATACTCCATTTCTGATAAAAATGTACAAGAGATTAAGATCAGGTAAATTTTCTTGTGAATTGTCCTTCCACATATACATTAAACTACCATGGTTATATGATCTATGGTAATTCACAATTTTTTAAAATTATATTGGTTCATCTTTTAGTTCTTGATAGCATTGGATTTTCTTCTTTTTTACTCTACTTCTGTGGCCTTCCATTATTTACACTACTTTGCTTGTTGTTTCATGATTTTTTATCAGTCCGGGGATCATGTTGTTGATTTTTGCTAAATCAAGTAGCCATGTCCCACTTAAAATCCTCTCAATAGAAGATGGTACTGTTTTGAAATCATTTAACCATCTCCTTCATCGGAATAAGAAGGTGGATTTCATTGAACAATTCAATGAAAAGCTTCTTGTGAAGCAAGAAAATGAGAACCTTCAAATTCTTGATGTAAGTAATTTCCTGTGAGTGGTTTACATTGTTGGTCGTTCTACATTCAGATATCTGACTTTTAATTAACTTTAGGTACGGACTTTTGAGCTAACAGAAGTTAGCAGAAGTGAATTTATGACACCATCTGCATTTATATTTCTGTATGAGAACCAATTATTCCTGACATTTCGAAACCGAACTGTGGCTGTGTGGAACTTCCGGGGAGAACTTGTAACTTCTTTTGAGGATCACCTCTTGTGGCATCCTGACTGCAATACGAACAACATATACATAACCAGTGACCAGGATCTCATCATATCATACTGCAAGGCAGATTCTGATGATTCTTTGTCTGAAGGAAATGGTACTTTCTCTTGATCTATGCCCAGCTAGCCCCAATTTTTATTTCATTTTTTGTTTCTGGTTCTCTGTTCCTTTTTAATGCACTTTGTGCAATTGGCCGTACCGTGGGAACAATATTTGGAAAGGTGTGCTTTACTGTTTAGTCATTGAACTGAAAGCTGATTTAGTGTTTTTCGCATGTTGAGTGGAGTAGCTAAAACGTAAATCTGGATGGCAAATCATATAAATTTTGGATGTGTTAGTGATCAATTTGTATTTGTAAGGCAGCGCCACCTTGGAAGCACATCTCTAACGAATTCTGCTTCTGCTTCTTTAAATGCAGCTGGATCCATAAACGTTAGCAACATTTTAACTGGCAAGTGTCTTGCGAAGATAAGAGCGAGAAATAGCTTTCCCATGGTGAAGAATTGCAGTTGCAATGATGACAATTGTTCAAGTAGTGGTTGTAATTCAGGGAAACGAAAGCATGGCTCCACAATTAGGAGCACAGTTGCAGAAGCCTTGGAAGACATTACTGCTCTCTTCTATGATGAAGAGCGCAATGAGATCTATACTGGTAATAGGCACGGTCTTGTGCATGTATGGTCTAACTGATGTACTGTTGAATTCATTGTTGCCTTGTGTTTCTTCCTTGGATTTATCCATGGTTGTGTTGATAACCTCGCCTGCTATATAAACTTTTGGGAGAGATGTAGCCATTAAGTCGTCATGTATCATTAATTTTTTTTTTTTTTTAATTTGTCATTACATCATAGGTAAATTTAATCTGTAGGTGGAACAACTCTGTATCAAGTGGTACTGTATGCTTGTAGCTCACATCATGTTGTTTAAGCTGTAATTTATATTACATTTATGGAGTCACCTCTATGAAGTAAAATATGTGAATAATGTTAACAATATTTTCTACTCTTTGACACTTTTGCCTTGTGGTGGCCTACAATGGTGTGATCTGCTTGCTCTCTCACATGGATTGCTAGGGACGCTATGTCAAATGTGTGGGGTAAAGGAAAAAGCAATCAGTAATGAGAAGTGTTGTAGCTTTTTACTCACTGGTTTCTGTTGGTACTTAAATCAATTCACTTTTTGCTTTCTCACTTAGCCTAACTCGTTTCTATTGTTTGTATCCCATTGTCAGATGCCAAACTAATGCTTTGTTTGGAAGGAAGCCAAAAGAATGGAAAGGAAAGAAAACATGAATAATGATGTATCTGTTTTTTGTTTGATTGAAAGGAAAGAAAAAAACAAAATTGACTTTTAGAAACAAAAATATAAACTTTTTCTTCCTTCTGTTTTTTCTTCAATTTAAATTTATTTATTTTTCCCTTTTACTTCCATTCTACCAAAAGTGTAAGACAGAAGGACGTTCTTCTAAAATGAAATTTGCCTTTAGTAATTGTGCAATCATATTTTGTTGAAGAGCATTATTTTTTTAACTAGTTTAGTAGAGCAAAATTTTATACTTTTGTAAATTATTATATATAATAAATTATTCTTAATAAATTTTTTAAAAATTATTTTGATTAAATTCTATAACTATGAATAGTATGTATTAAAATGATAAAAATTTAATAATTTTGAAAAATAATTTATTTAAAAATAGTATTTTTATTTTATAGTGTAAAAAAATTGAATTAAATGTCAATAATTAACTATAGGTTTAAGAAATAAGGTTCTTTAAAATAAACTTTAAATTTGAAAAATTGAAAAAAATTAATATAATTTTTATAAATGTAAAAATAGGTATTCAGCTTGTAAGACATGATTTTATGGAGATTAGAGTATGATCTTAATTAGATATTACCCTTTATTTAAATTTTGTTTTTGTATTTAATAATTTTATTTTAATTTATGGTAATTAGTTAGTTGGTGTTATCGTTTTTATTTGATTTTAGATTATATTAAGGGTTTTCCTGTATCTCTTAGATTTATTTTGTATTTTTTTTTTTAAATTGTTAATCTATATATATAGACTCTGTAAGTTATACGGAATTTTGGCATGGGGATTTCTTTTGGGTGTCATGTTGAAAGTATGTCATATGTTCGAATATTTTATTTTTATGTTTGGACGCGTGAGTAGAAGCTATCTGTCAACTGGCTTTTATACCAAATGAAAACCTTGTTTGTTAGAATAAGATAGGAAATGGGAGTTTATGTCTTTGTAGTCAAGTATGTTGTAAAATTTCCGGAACTTAATTAAAAATAGTATAGACAACTTTGTTTTATCAAATGAAATAAAATAAAATAAAAACACAAGTAATTAAAAAAGGAAAATTGTTGATATTGTTAATATATACAGTATTGATAGATCCTGCCTCAAGACTTAAGTAATACGAAAATGAAGAGAAAGATTGTGTATAAGGAAAATGAGGTGATAGAAAAATAGTCCATTCTCAGGTATTTTGTTACGTGGGAGGAAGGAATACTTTGCTGTGATATGTAGATATTGATTTTCTTGTTTAGAGTGATGTGATTTTGCATTTAGTTTGAGTAGGTTATTTCTAATTTTTTTTAATTCTTGTCTAAAATAAGTCATTAAGATTTTAATTATAAAAAATATATCAACTTTTACATATAATTTATGAGAATTAATTCTTGAAGCAACGCATTTCTATTAGTATTTTTCAACGATAATGTTTTTAAAAATATTCTTAAATGGAACATTTTTAACAATTAATTTTTAAACTTTGCTACGAGCTACAAATCTTTTGCATAAATAGTAACAGAAAAATTTATAACTAATGGCCTTGATTGATTGAGTTTAACATAGTCAGGTAATATTTTATTAGTGAGCGTAATTCGTTCTTAAAAAATCTTCAGTTTTTTCTTTTCACCAATCACCATGGCGATTGCTAATTTTTTATATTATATATTTATTTTTTAATTTAATATTAATTTATATTTTTAATTTCTCATAATTTATTTAATATAATAGATATTTATTACTAATATTTATTATACTTACTTCTTTTTGAACTTAAAAATTTTATTAAATTTTACAATAGTCATATAATATATTTTTAATTATTTATTTTAAAAACTTAATTTAATTTAATGATACCCGTTCAGTGTATGGAAACAATATTAGTTTTATTAATGGTTACTTTATATTTTTTTAACAAATAATTTAATTTATTGAAAACTCTAACAGTATTTACATAAAAATCAAAATTTGAAACAAAATAATTATTTAAAATATATTAAATTTAATAAATATTTAAATAATTGATCAGTTTTTGTTTATTAAAATCATTCGTAACTAAAAAAATCTAATAATGTATTTATATAAAAAATTGTCAATTTAAATGAGTGATAAAAACATTAGAGAGGGGACTATCGCAACCAAATTCCCTCTCTACGCATCACAATTTTTTTGGGGACAAATTTAGCGACAAAATTTATTTGAGATGAATAATTTCCTCTCATAATTTGTATTCTTTTAGCAACATAATATTACCTATCAAAATTACTCTTTAATATTATCTTTAAATTTTGTGAAGAAATTAGTAACGGACCGATTTTGAGAGGGGAGTATTTGTGTTTCAAATTCTGTTTTTAAAAATTGACTTGCATATTTAGAGAGGGACTTTGAGAACATTTTGAGAGGAAAAATTCTTTCTCTAAAGTTGTCATAAAAAATAAAAATAAAATTATTAGAAATGGATTGCATTTCCTCTATAAAATCCATCTCTAAAACTAATTTTTGAGTAGTGATATTAGTTTTAGCACTAGTTACAGGATTAATAGTTGCAAATGAGAAACATGTAAATAGGTTTCAAAAGGACGGATACTTGCCTTTGATTATATTTTAAAAGTAAAGATATAATATATATTTTTTCTAATTTCACATGTTTTTTCTCCTATCTTACTAAATTTAAGTCATTTTTTCTACTTAAATATTGCAAAATTGTTATCATGCATGGAATACTTGTTAATTCTAATATTAAATTTTAATTTATTTATTATTAATTTTATCATTAAATCACGTTAACCATTTTTCTTTTGCAAAAAAGAAAAGGAAAATTGCACTTATTTTTGGATAAAATTATAGGAAAAACCATGAAACCGTCATTTAATGAATATCTCAGTTCGCTTAGTTCAGATAAAAAAAATTGAAATGTTCTGTTAAGTATTAAAGTATATAGAAATGTCTAGGAGCTTGTTTTTAAACAAGTACAATAGATGTTGGCTAGAATGGAAAGTTCGGTAGCGTAGTCTGTTAATTAGTAAACCCATTAACTATAGGAACTCTTTCTTTTAATAAACCTCCAGATTAGTCTTAGAATACAAATTCATTTCCTTTTCTATATTATTTTTCATTTTTCAATGATAATCAAGATTAAAGTGACCTTGAGGGACTAAATATGAATTTAAAAATGCCTGGACTAAAAAGCGAAAGATTACAATTTTTGGTACTAATTTGAGAATTTACCCTTTTATGTCAAATCTTTGGCATTCTATCTTGATACTTAACAAAAGCAGCATGACAAATCAATCAACCTCTTAAATACTAGTGTTTAAGAATGAGTGTCTCTACTTACGTTAACAATTTTCATTTTATCTTTTTCAGTGAGATGTTATGTATCACACCTTTCAGTATATCTATGTCCTAGATCTTGTCACATTTATATGTCATTGGTTAAATAGCACAGCAAAATTGTTCACCAGTTACAACTTGTAACAAAATGGAATACAAAGATTTTATTGAACTATCTTTTCCTGATCCCATTTTGTGTAACGCGAATCCAAGAATTCCTAGGGAAAGAAAACAAAACATAAAATGAAAAAGGTTGCTTGAACTTTCATGTCTTGGCACAACTATATTTATTCTAACTAGGTTCCTCTAAGGACTAGATCTGCATAAGAAAAAACTCTTAACTCCAAAAGTTCCTAGATATCCATGCTGATTCCATACTTGCGTAAAATCCTACCCGTACTACTTTAGTAAGACATCCATGCTCTTGCGTCTGATATGGGCATGGTAATAGTTAAACCTGACTCTGAGTGGTTGAGTTTCTCTAGGAGATCCTTGATTAGGTTGCCTCCTATGTAAGAGACTCCTGAGGCTGCAAGTGCCAATGTAACAAAGTATGATACAGTTTTGATATAGGATTTAGGTGGTCTTGTGGTGTAAACTTTGCCAATAGCAAGTAGAATGATGCATACAACCGAAGTGGCTGCTACCACTGCAAGCTTAACTTCAGCATAGTAATTCTTGTTAATCAGGAGGCCGTAGATAACAAGGGGCACAGAACCAAATATTAGGAATGACAAGACAGCTACAACGGCATGAAGCAAGAAGTTTGCTCTTCGTCCTAGTAATTCTTGATACCGATTTTGCACAATCATTTGCATTTGATCCCCTTCAGAGTGATCATTTTTCAAGTCAATGAGCTGCAAAGAAAAAGAGAAAAAGAAGGCTTGATTAAGGTTTTGTTTGTTCAAGGGATTAGTTCAAGAAAAAAGGCATGACTGAAATGGATCCAGAGTGCATTTCAGGACACACTCATTCCATGTCTCAGTTCCACCAACTGAATTGTGTCTTGAGGGAACACACTTGACCAAGTTTTAAACAGAGAAATATAATTGGGAATGGAATTCCATAGCATCAGGGACGCTCCATGTTTGAAATAGCATAGACTAATCAGGGTTAGTAGAGAGATTACAGGGCCCTACTTTGTTGCTAATAAACATTATAATTATACATTCATGCCCTATGTTCTAAACAACACTACATGTCATCTAGGGTGATGGTGTAGAACCCATTAGAACATAAAAAATAAGTAATTCTTACCAACAACTATTCCTAGCATGAAATCATATTATTATAATAAGAGAGAGACAATCATACACCAAGATGTCTGGAGACACAGGTTATTAAGAGCAATTACAATTTAATTTCAACCTACCATGTCATATTAGTCATTCGTACTTCCATTCTCAATAAGACTATCTCAAAGTGAGATTATATTTTGTTCATGCAAGAAAAGAGAATGCTGCGGAGACATGATGATACAATTTATCAGAGATTGAGCAGTAAATGGAAGCCCACTCACATTATGACCAAGGATGAAAAGTCCACCAATTATATTTGCAAATCCCAATGCTATAATATTCACTGCAATAAACACAAGATCAGAAAATTAACTAGTCTGAACTGAACCAAAATTTCACCTTTTAAGATGTGAAACAAAAACTGCAAATTTAACTAAGCCTAAAAATTATAGATATTAATCTCAGCAATTCAGCAAACCTTCTCATAAAACCAGGAGACAGACAATTCTAAATTAAAGTAGAACTACTTAAAGAACCAAGAAAGCATAAGGCAGAAAGATTTGATTAATAAGCATATCTGATTCAGTACAAAATCAGAAATTTTGGAGTCCAACACATACACTTGGTATCTTTTTTTTTGACTATTTAACAAAGGGTATGTTTCAGGGAAGATCTGATCATCAATGTGGTGACTTCATGCATGGAATTTTTTACCAGCCTGCTGCAACTTTGTTTGTTGTTCATTAATTTTCAAAATGGTCTAATTTGATGGTTTCACCCATTGCCCTTTTAAATTCACATAATTAGGTCCTAAGTTTAGGAAATAGGTCAAGCTTGTTTTAGGGTAAAGAATAGCTCCTAATATGTATTATCCAATTAACTGATCCTCACTCTTGAAAAGGCCTCACTGAACCTTCCCCCCCCCAAAAAAAAAAAAAAAGGGAAAGCACACTTACATGGGGTAGCACCAGAACTAATTGCAGATGACACAATTCCTAGGCTTGTGATCGACTCAGTTAAACCACCATATACAATACTTTTAAGTACTTCCCACCCTTGGGGTTCACCAGCTTCATCTCTAGGTTCTTCAACAATTTGTGCTTGAGTATGTGATTCTGTCACACCTTCAACTGGAATATTATCTGCTGTCTGAGATGTGGATTCAAATGGTTCTTTCTCCACATCAACTATCACATCACCACCTGCACCATTATAATAACTCCAATTATTACACAAAAGCAAACATGCAAGATTTATTTTGGAACAAACTCTGCAAGTGATACAGGTGAGCAAGAATTGCTGTATATTGATGATTAACTGATGACATTTATTTCATGCACATACCTTCATTTTCTTTTCTGGTAGAAGGATTTATTTCCTTGTCACTATCCTTTTGCAGTTTTTCAATTACTTTAAAATCTAGTTTTGATGGCAAGATAGCATCCATTCCAGCATTTTGTTTAATAGTAGCTACATCACTTGCTATTATTGCACTGCCAAATGATTGAATTGTTGATTGTGCTCCTTGTCCCAAAGAGGAATAAGTATTCTTAACAGCTTCTGGTATCTTGCCTACAGCTGTAGAACCAAGTAATTCAGGTCCCCCAGCATTAGGATTCAGAATGGCATCTTTAGCAATTTCTCCAAAACTAACAAGTGTTTCAGTTGTAGCAGCAGCTGCTATTTGAACAATCTCATGCTTGGATACCTTCTCATCAGAAAAGCTCACTGAGGACATAACATCAATATCTGCTTCATGTGATTTAATGAAGTGAGCACCGCCACAATCAACAAGAAATGAATCAATGGAATAAATAACTTAGGAAAGTATGAAAAAGTACATTATGCATAATTAATAGGCACGTTGGGAAAAGTCCTTTTGTACAAGGTTAAAGGTAGACATGCATAGTTCAATAAGAAAATGAAAGAAAATGAAGTAGGCTTGGGAGTTCTATAATATTTATTTTGCTAAAGTAAAATGGAAAATATTTAGAGTATAACCATAAGACTTAAAAAATTTTTTTGGTAATCATGGTTTATTTGAAAGTAACTACCCCTCATATAATTGAGCCTGTGATGGTGTACTATCTTACTAATAGGGAACGACACTTCTAGACAGATAGCGTATTTCTATTGCCCAAATTCATAATGCACAATTGAGCTAGTATATGATTTATCTAGATTCTGTTTTGAAAAAACTGATATTGAAACAAAAACTCAAGGAATTATATCTTTAAATCTCAAACATACTTGTCTTTATTATATCTACTGAAGCTCTCTTTTCCTCTCCCTCATTGGTCATCAGGTTTCCAGCCAGTAATTGTTCCTTTGCTTTATCTGTGAAATCCTGCCCAATTATTGGCATTCCATTCATTGCATCACCAGCACTTTTTGTATAAGATTGTATAGTAGATAAACCATTCTGAAACAAGAAGTCAAGACATTTTTGGTCAGCCAACGTTTCATTTCTTGAAGGCATGAAGCCTTATGGGCTTTGATGTCATTTTCTATAAATGGTTCATTCTTTAGACTTACTGTTGATGAAATCAGAGAATTCATCTCTCCATGTCCATTATTAATATCTGGCGTTGGTTTTACATTTTTAATTATAGATGTATTGGTAAGAAGACCTTCTGGATGACCAATTTCAGAGGAGGTTGGCACATTTGAACTAATTGATGTTGAGGGATGCTGCTCAGCAGGATCAGTTCTAGAATGTTCAAGGGACGCATCACCTACATAATTATAGCACGAAAATTGGCAAATTGGAGACAGAAAGATTTCACAATAAAAAGCTTCAATCTTGAGTCAAATTCACTGCAAGCTAAATGCACGATTTCCTGTATTTCTCAGTTTGCATTTAATATAGCTCAACTATTCAAGAAAGTGTTGAAAAGGAAAATATGAGAAACTCTATCAATAGGAAATTCAAAAGAGAAGTAAACCACGAGGAGTATAGAGAATTCGAGCAAACTGAAAACTTGTCTCAAAAAGCATTTAAAATTTGTGCCAAAATACTATAATTGCATACGTCAAACAAGAAATGAACTGAAACCCGACAGCCAACCCTTGGCGGGGCCAATCTTCAAATAAGCATCATTGTGAAAGTGACTTCTCTTAGAAGTACCTATATAATAATTATTTAAAAAAAAAACTTGCTTACTAGCTTTTTTCCCCTTAGTCCAAGTAATTAGTTGAGATTTGAGCCAATTTGCATTGGAGCCTGGTAGATTTGAAGGATCTTGCAAATTGCTTGAAGGTATATTTGAAGGATTTTGTGTACCTTCGTTCTTGCTGGCACCACGGAACAGATTGAAACAATTTCCTGTACAAATTACTAAGATTGTTAAGTTTACATAGAAGACAGAACCTGAATCATCACAGACTAATCAAGATACGTCAAAAAAAAAACTTCCTAGTTGCACAAAAGTAATTAATGGACAAATGTACAGATGATGATTTTTTAGATATAGAAACATTTGCAAGCCTTCATCTAACAGCTTAAACTTTAGGTGCTATTGGTCCTTGCCAAACGACCTTCAAGCATATCAGAAAACATGCATGTTTAGTATTCATAATCAGAAAATAAAGCTTCCTTGGATTTGCTGCTTTAAGTCACAAAACCTAAGGAAGTTCAGATTCACTCCTGTTATTCTTGCCTTCCAGTTCCAGCCAATAAAAAAAGAATAAAACTAGACCACACTATGATTTTAACACAAAAAATGTAACCCACTTACCACTAGGTATAAAGAAGCTGAAGCATGATAAACACCTGAATACTTCTGGATCTCTATCAGGATGATAATTATCATCAGCAGGTGGCTCTACAGTAACAATATCAGAGGTTACATCTGTGCGATCACCTTGGCTGGCTTCAGGTTGAGCAGACCCATCAACCAGCTCTGAGCTAACTATAGTCTCCAACTTATCACGCTTGGCTTTGTTGTCTACATTATGAATCCTCCTTTTTCTTTTCTTAAGAATAACCCTTTTAGTAATGCAAGAATTGCAATTAGGACAAAACAAGTCATGAGTCTCTTGTTTTGCCAATACTGCCTCAACATCAAATTCTTGCAGTTGTTGGTCAATCTCTTTTGTCAAGTTGGGACCTTCCTTGGCACAAGTTTCTTCACCAAAATTCATAACTGCTGTAGCTTGTATGCCAGATGCATTATGTAAATGGGATAATTCTGAACTGATCTTGTCATCCATAGTTTTCATACATTCATTGGTGATTTCTCTGCATAGACTATTTTGAATAACTGACTGATGTACTTGTACATCAAACTCTTTCTCCCCCAGATTTGTTGGATAGACATACCCAGATGCATCACCATTTTGAACTCCATTAAGTCCATTAACTTCATCATCTGCAAGCATGACACATATAACCATTTCAATACCAAACAGCAAATGGAAAAGAAAAATTAGGATATAAATGCCAAAAAATGAGTTTCAAAGATATGGCTATTAGCTACCAACCGAAATAATAGTTAAAATAATTAAGAATCAACTTATGTCCGAGCATCTCCACAATAATGTCAAAAGTTGCATATATAGAAACATTGAACAAGAGCGGAGCTTATTTCCATATTGACACTATCCTTTTAAATCCAACAAAGTAAAATTAACTGTTACAACTTCATCCAGCAAATTTACAACAAAAGTTACTTCGAGGCCTCACAAATCAATGTGTAGAATCCATCCCATTGAAAGGCTGTTGAACTATGCTGGTCAGAACTGTTAATGTGTGTTCTAGAATCTTGGCATCTACTGACCTTTAGGTTCACAAACAAAACATGGTCCATGTTGTATCACAGTTTTGACATTCATCAGCAAGTCAGGGTAGCCCTTAAGATTCCAAATGGGCACAGTCCAAGGACTGTCAAATTGCTGGGTCCATGAGCAGTGATGACATTTCCACATTCCTTCAGGCATAAAAAAGTGACGACGTGTTTACTAAACATCAGAATATCTAATTCCCATAAATTTGATAAAAGAAGCTGATTTCAGTTTATTAGAATATCTGTCCTAATTATGGGTTAGTTCCTTTTAACTTATCTATATCATAGATTATCTTTGTTCACACGTTAGTGGTACTCATAAAACAAGCTAAGAAAGACAATCTAAGAAGTCCAGAACACCAATATGGCTTGAGTACTGTCTTCAACTACCCAGAAACAGCCTAATGTTAATCTAAACCGCAGAAAGAGCCAGAACTTCTGAACAAATAAACCTGGACAAATGCACATCACAATTCACACTACACTTGATAACTTAACTTGGAAAAAAAGGCAATGGTAATGAAAGTGATGCAACAACAACCAAACAAATGACAAAACAGTAATTTCCTGAAAAAATTATCAAACACTTAAAGAAGCCAAAAGAGTACAGCATTCTATTAATCCGCAAACTGAAATTTCTCCCAAATACGATGCTACAGTACTAACCACAAAAGTAAATCCCAAGAGAAAGAGAGAGGTAGTGAGGTACCTTGTTGCTTATCAAGGTAAACACTGTTCTTATTATGTGACACAGCAGCACCACTTATGGCATCTCCATTTGTTGCTGCTCCTGCAACTTCAGCCGCTAGGCCAAGGCGAACAGCTTCATTATCTACCATATCATCATTAACATGGTTGTTATTTTCACAAACACGTCCTATGTCTTCAAATACTTCCTCCTGCATAACAGGAGATCCATCTAGGTCTCTGACCGCTGTGCAAACTCCATTACTATGCTCACTGCCATTGCTAGTAAGAGAAGAGGAAGAAGAAGAGGATGCTAATACAACACCATCAGTGAGATTTTCCGTGCCATGTGAAAGAGATTGCCTTGTTTTCAAAGCACCATCTTCCATTTCTTGTTCTTGTCCTTCTACTAGTTCATGATCATTCACTATGCATTGGTGGTGCTCTTGTTCCATTGAAGGTGACTAATCCAGAAAGATAAAAGACAAAGAAACTAAGACAAGATTGGATGTTTTTGGGAGAGGTAGGGTTGGGTGTGGAATTTAATGTGCTTGACTCTTGAGGGTGTATTTGTACACTCTTCTGCATTTATGCGGAGCTCCACTTTCAACCACTTCGCACATGGAAAATGAAGATAATAAAAATTTGAAGAAAATAATATAATAATAGCTGAAGTTAACTCATTTTGTGTTGAGAGAAATTTATAATTACACAGTACGTGGAGTTTCTTTTAACTGAAAAAACTGCTTTTTGTGATTTTATCTGAAAATTAAACAAAACTATTTTTATGCAAATGGGACCGAGTTGGATCATCGTGACCTTCAGCGCAGTAACGTAAGAAGGAAATTATAATTAATTACACTTTGGGTTTTTACAGTGTAAATTATGCGTGGTTTTACAAAAGGAAAATTAGGATAAAAAGAAACTAGGAAAAGAAAAGAAAAAGTCCCACAAAATCTCCTTTTTTTTGTTTTAAATTTTCTTTTCCACTGTACTAACTAGCAGACAGAATGCATCACATCAAAAACTACATTTGGTGGAACTCATGCCAGTCCAACCATTTAAGCATAAAGATCCTGAGATCCTGACAACTATTGTTGTCCATAAGCACAACCAAACATCCCAATAAACAGCCTTAAAACTATAATTTATTGGAAACATGACAACTAGAAACGTTGAACTGAGTGTCAAAGAATGATTTTAAGACAAGAAAGGATAATAATAATAATAAAATTGAAAGGAATGATGTAAGCTTAGAGTGGGGTTCACGTGCTGCTTTTTCTAATTCTTAAATACACAGTTATCATTTTTTACTATTGTGTGGTCCAGATCTTCAAGTGATCACACGAGGACCATGCATGATGCATTATGCATGATGCAAGTGCTATTTCCACTTCCAGATTCAGACAAATTCTAGTTTTGTTCCATTACGCTGATTGTGACTGGACACCACGAAATGTTCTCTCATGTTTAAAAGATTTACCTATTAACATTAGCTTCAAAAAAAGTTTGCATACATAATATTTTGCTAAAAATATTGACCCCATGCATGATTTAAATACTTTTGTTTAAATTACTGATATTATTTTGTTTAAATTATAAAAATATATTTTTTAAATATATTTATTATTATTTTTATTTATTTATTATGAAATTTGTGTTGACAAATTATTCATCTATTACTCATACTATAAATGAATATATTCATTAGTATCTATTATTAATTTAATCTTTTATTATTATAAATGTTTTCAGAATATATTATAAATTTATAACATTGATTTTTTTATGAATTTTAATAAATTGATTATTTATTCTTTTATAACAAAAACAGGAGCAGTTATGAAACCATTCTTCAAGTTTTCTCTTTCTTAAAATGGGAAGATATATATGTTTAAGAATTTATAATTTATTTATTATTAATTCAAATTTAAATATTTTCATCATAAGTAATTTTAAAGTAACTATAAATAAATTTTTATTTTTTATTTTACACATTTTCATTTTAAAAGAGTTGAGTTTATAAAATTATTATTTTTCTAAAATATAAAGAATTTAATTAATTTTACCTCTTTTACATTATTTTAATCTTAAATTATAATATAGTTGATATTTTTATTTTTTTAGGAGAATATTTTATGAATATATATATATATATATATATATATATATACGTACTACGTTCTTGCGAATCATATCACAGCTGTCGTGTGATCTGGCGCTGGAATTTCATTTCCCAATAAAAATGTTAGAACTCATAAAATCTTTTTGCAATTTTTTTGTTTGCACCTTTTCTTATTATTATTTTTCTAATAATATCTTTATTAATAAAAATATCCATTTTGATGCATATGAGATCCTGAATTTTTAACATTTCGTCTCCAACTTATTATTTTGTTATATATTTTGGATGGAACAAACAAACACTACACAATAATAAAAGCTCGTTTAAGAAAAGTACCTTGAGGAATGATGTCGCCATAGCGATAAATATGCAGCTACTATAAGTCGATGTGAAAGGTGCAATAAGTTTAAATTTAGAAAAGACGATAAGAGAAAATACAACAAAGTGTAAATAAAAGAAGAGTGACAAATATCATTATTTATATTTTCTTTCTTCTCATTTAAATAAATATTTTGTTCACCAATTCATCTTACTTGCTTCACATTTTATTTAATAAATTTAATATGTTATTAAACATAAGTGTATATTGTCTTTAATGAGATATACATTAAACATCAAATAATAATTACAAGTTATATTTTCATTATCATAGTAACATATCTTAATTAGTGTTTTAAAAAACAAAGTCAAACATGATGTAAATGATAATGCATTAGCTTTTAAAAACACGAGCTTTTTATAAATATTCTAAGCTTTAAAATTGAGGCATTGAGCATATGATTAAGTTTGATGAAACATTATTATTTGTGGTTGACATTTATTTTCTCACCCAACCCCTTTATATAAATGCATGCATTCAGGGAGTGAGTCAAGTACCCTTTCCATTCTATAATTACATTTGTTGTACAAGTTACGCAAAATTTAATAGCTGTTCAGTCTAAGATAAGAAGAGTACACTTATACAGAAATTTTATATTTATTTTACTATAAGGAGATGATATAAAATTATGTCTTATTCATCAATTCCCTCAAGTTAAATTTTCACTCTCCTAAACTTTTTATAAAAGAAAAAACTTTATAAATCTATGAGAAGAAGAAAATCATATATGAAAATGTTAGACTGAAGTAAAGAAAATGTATGCTATGGACTCATTGGACTGCATAATCATATATTAAATGGTTAAATTTTAAGGATCTTGAACGTTGGTTAAATAATTAAAAGTAATTTTTAATTAAAAATTACGTTAGAATGTATTAGTGACATTTTTTTAATTTTTTATTTAGTATTTTTAGAGCACTAATTAACATTTATCAAATTTTAAATCTTAATTTAGTTTATCAAAAATAAAATCTTAGCCGTTAATAACATTTATTTTTAAGGAGTTTTCTACTTATAAATTATAATTTCTGCACCAGTTTCCATCACTCATCTAATTGGTATCTTTTAGTTGTCGCTAACAGCGTTCATTGCTTTCTCAGCAGTAAAAACAGCGAAGGGTAAAAACCTACTTAAGCATAAACAGAGGAAACATCAAAATCATTAACGATTCACACTTATAGACTACGAGCAATATTAATTAAATAATTATTTTATTATCGTAATTTAATGTTTGAATTTATAATTTGATGCAATTAATTATATAAGAAAATTCTTATTTTTTCTAAATTTTTGAAAACCACACCAATGACTGGTTATTTTAAGTAATATGTGTTTGATTTTCTTTCAATAAAGTTTTAGAAGTGAGTCTTGTACATTAAAATTTTTTTTATTCAAACAGAATTATCTTTTACACATATAGTCTCGAAAGCCACTACCATTTTGCATTGATAAATGTATGAAGTTTAATTTTACTTTATTAAAATTTCAATGAATATATTGTTTAGTAAATTATCTATAGAGTTAATTTATATTTTTGGTTCCCTTTATTTTATTTGATCCCACATTTAAAAAAAATCGGTATCGGGTCTTCAAAAATATTTATCATACCATGTATATCCTTCGCTAAGTTTCTATTTATTTTGTTTGTTAGTATTTATGTGACTCTACAAATAAGAGACTACATAAAAAGTTGTAATATTTTGATGTATTAAATAAAAAAAAAAACATATGATATTAGAGGGATAAGGAGAAATGTTTTTTTTACATATGAAATTTAAAAAATACATATGCAAAAATATGACATTTTTAAAAAAATTACGAAAATATAGGAATTAAATATTACAATTTTGTAAGTAAGCGAAAAATTACTAAATTTTAAAAATCGGTCTTAGTGATTTTTCAAAACATATATTAAAAAATTATTAAAAAAATAAAAATTGCTATTAGTAATTTTTCAAAAATAATGAAAAATTTAAAATTAAAAAAATAGCAATTTTTGAAAAAAATTTGTAAAAAATTTCAAATTTTTGTAATTTTTTTTTAAAATACCATATTTTGGTATTTTTTTAAAATTTTTTTTTTCCATATAAAAAAAACCCGAATAAGGAAGGAAGCAGAATAACAGAACTTAACAAACAAAATTAACAAAACAACTAGCAGAGGGCTTACATTATCTAAATTAATATTGAAAAATGAGAAATTAAATAATTTTTTTAATATTTTGAAAAATAAAAAATATAATTAATCATCATCATTATTTAAGGGAGGACTAAAATCAAATCATTGGCTACCCAATTTATCGGGTGTGTGTCCGGGGACACCAAGCATGATAACTATTTGTGCTTCATAGATAACAACACATGCCTATTTTCATAATTTCTTCTTCATTATTATAAATAGTGTTGATGTGATATATGCAACTCTTAGGTCCCAGCATGTTTAAAGCCAAAAGAAATGCTTTAAAAACATTCCTGAGAACCACTGATATTTAGTTTCAATTACTTATCTCTCTGCATTTATTTTAGCTTTTAGTTTTTTTAAAAAAGAATTAAAATGACAACAAATATTCAACTTGGTGCTACTTTGCATAAGCATTGAGGAACAGATCACGGAGACTTAACCCATGATTAATCCTTTAAAGGAACACGCAGTATGAGCAAGTTTTATATTGTATTGTATGATCACCAGTAGCATACATCAACCTTATATTTTCATTAAGATGGCTTTCTATCTGTTTTGCCAAATGTAAATGTCACCCTTTTTCTATGGTCAAAACAGTTCATCATACACAAATGTTCATAGAAATGGCTATTTTGTACCTTCGATTTGATTTTATGAGAAGGGTGACACATTATGATGATATTTTTCTTAGGATAATATGATCTCCTTTTTTGCATCGTGTGGAATGTGCCAAGAAAATTGAGATCTATATCGTGAGAATGTGAACTTTACATCTAAGTTCCAAAATCATTTGTATACGTTAAAATCAAGTGTGAATCAAGTC